TCTATCAATGTGATGTATGAACCTATTTTTTTAACTAGTGCAAGGACTCTTATTTATGAAAGCATACAGAAAATACAAAAGTGCTCATGAGTTTTTTTACTGTAATTTTATTTTTGAGATTATTTTCAGAATACTCTTTGTTTTTGGATTCTTTCATGCCAAAACCTGAAGCTGCTTGGTAAATCTTTCCACAATAAAAATCCTAAAACTTCTAAGCACTTGTACCTGTAGGATGAGTTCTACTACTTTATTTTGGAAGCAGTAAATTGCTTTTTTTTTAGCTCCTGTAGCATTTGAATGGGGGTTGCAAATTGACAATACAAATTATTACAAATTCAAATTATTGTTATTACAAATACAATCATTAACAGCTTCCTCTATTTCTTGTATTCCACACTCTGCTTAAATATTTTTTTAAATTTTCACCTTTTGAAAGGTACAAATAGTTCTAAATTTGAAGCAAGAAAAACTGAAATGAAGGATCACCTTGTGGGGTTTTTTTCACTTTGGGCTTCACATATACTAAGAGTGCTTCACTAGTTAGAAATTCTTGTGAACAGTATTAGCAGATTTTCTGAGTAAGCATGTAAATGTGTAACAGAGACATGCTTTATACATTTAGTTATTCCTGTGTGGACAAAGCAAGAGATAGCTCTAACAGTGCTACTGAATTGTGACTGTACAAAGTGCTCCCACCGTCTTCCTCCTTATTCCCTGTAGACATTCCTCATTCTGCCCTCCCATGGTGAGTGAGCCCTGGCTCACAGCTGGGCACAGGCAGGGTTAGCCACATATTTACTACCCATACAATGGTTACACAACATGATACCAGGTCCTGTTTCTTAAATAACGATTAAAGGGGTCATTAAAACACATGTTTTATTTGTATTACTATATTCAGGCTGAAGTAGGATCTAAGGGGGAAGAGGCAGAGAAGAGTCAATAATTAAAAAAGCTATTATCTTTCCAGACAGTTTCATTGTAAGGCTTCATGCAGAACTTCTTTTCCAAGGCTGCTTTAGTTATCCAAAATCCAGATTAGTTATCTGAAATCAGTCTGGGTTTTTATAATTTAGTATGAAAACTTTGATAAACGTAGTTTTTGTAGAGAGGTAAGATGGGGTGTCTAAATTATGCAACAAGATGAACCACAGACTTAAAGAACAGGAGACTGGAAAAGACCTCAAGATTTCATCTTGTGCAATCTGGAGGTCCAAAAGAGAATCAACAGGAATGAAAATGAAAAAGGATCTAACTGTCTTTATTGTTAATAAGATTTTCTTAATATTTAGCATAACCTTCAGTGTCATAGTTTGAACCATCACTTTATCCACTACAGATAAAAAAAAATATATAATCCCTCTTTAGAGGGGATTAGTTACCTCCCTAGACATAATTTATGTAGATGACAGTTTTCATGCGTTTAGTTGTCCTTCTGTTCTTTAAACTGAGTAACCCAAATTCTTTCAATCTCTCCTTCTTGTGGCTTTTCTTTTTTCCTAAGACAACTGACCATTTTCTTGCTTTTCCCTGGACTTTTTCCAGTTGGTCTGCCTTCTATTGCAACAGTTTTGCTTGAACAGGACACAGTGCTACTGGTTGCTGTGGTAGACAGAAATATAATAGGAAGTATTCCTTAATATATCAACCAAATATACAATCAAAGCAGTTTCTCTTCCTAACATGCAGTTTGCATTCTTGATATTATGAAACACTACTTATTTGTGAATAACTTGTGACTGACCGGTACCCCTCTAATCCCTTTTTTTGGCAGAATAGCTGCCACATTTTTATGAGCTGTTATTCCCCCTTAGAACCTGACACTTGTAAACACAAGTGCATTGCAATATGTTTTCTCCTACAAATAATTTATTTGTCAAAAGCATCCTGAGTTTAATGCATCATGCAATGAGTTTGCTGTTCACATGGGTTATTGTTATCAGTGAGTTGGAAAGATTGTTCCTTTATCCAAATCATTAATTACCTGCACCATTACTCAGTCCAGAATGGACCCAGATGGGATCTTACTGATTATGTTTTTTGAATTTGATAGTGAATGATTAAAAATTAATCTTAGTCTGTGGTTTTAGTGCTGGGGTTTTTTTTTTGGTTGGTTTTGTTTTCCTTGTTTGTTCCCTATGCTCAGGTAGTTTTTCACTCTTCCAGAAATAGTTTCACTTTAGTATACTTTTGAAAATGTTATGAGTCAATGCTATAAAGTCAGTAACATTATTAAAATTAAAACATATTATGTGACCTACTCCTTCTCTATTTGTAAGACTTCTTGCCATCTTACAGAAATTAATAGCCAACATGACAAAAAGTACAAAGCAATGTAGCTCAACTATCTCCAACCTTTTATGAATAATCTATATTTTAATTTTTTCAGAAATGATCTCTTCTTCATTTCTTGACTTTATAAAGATAAGCATTGTGTTCAGCACCTCACACATTTCTCATACAACTTCTGAGAGTTTTCAGAAAAAGCTAACAGATCTGACTTTGCTTCTCTCTGTTGCTGAGGTATCTTAACGTGCACATGCTCGGGCTCAGGTGCCAATGCGTATAGCACTCATTTCACCTCTGGCAGCCTATGAAGGAACATCCATATCTCTGCAGGGGTGTAGGTTCCTATATCAGTGCAGGGACACTTCTTGCATCAACAACAACTAGAGAGCTCTCCTGGGGACATCCTGTAGTGGTATACTTGAGGATGATATGAACTGCAGTACATTGAAATTATTTTTTGGTCCTGTTCTTTTTCCTATTTCAGATAGATTATCTCTTACTGAGTTTAGTTATTAGTCAGGTAATTACAGTTCACCCTTCTATGAAGAATGATAGAAAACGTACATCAGCCTTCTGCAAGTGAACTGTCACTAAGTTTTTCTTTCCCTTCCAGATTTGTTTTCTTGCTTTCTCTTACATCCATTGCTTTTTGCACTTAAATTTGTGCTTTATCCTTTATGACTTTGTTTCAGCATCTAGTGCTATTTTTTCATGCTTGTCCTTAGGAGTTTGACCTGGTTTCCACTTTCTGTACATTTCCTTCTTGTGTTTCAGGTCATTGAAGACCGTGCTGCTTAGCCAAGTAGCCAAGCTGATCTCTGACTATACTTCCTATCCTCCTACTGTGTAGGATTGTTTGTGTTTGTACCCTAAATGTAATTTCTTTAAGGAGGTGCCAACTCTACTGAATTCCTTCTGCTTTAGCCACGTTTCCCATGAGAACTTACCTTCCAGTTCCCAGAGTTTATTGGAGTCTTCTTGTATAGGGTTCATTTGGTTTGAATTGATCTTGCCTCTTGTTTTCCATCTAAAAATAATGCATATTATCACAACACAATTACTCTCAAACAAATTACCTTTGCCCTCATATTTCTGACCATCCCCTTTCTTGGTTGCTTAGCAGGCAGCCTCTTGGCAGGCTGCTCTTGGAGCACTTGGCAGGCTCTAACAGCTGCTGTAGACCCTGCACGGGGAGTGGTTAAATGCTACTCCTTATACCTAGAGACAGACACCGTGCTTTGTAATGTGCAACTGGAGATGCTCACCTAAGCATCCTCAGGGAAACACTGTCTACTTCTAACAGAGACAAATACTATGTGTATAGAGTGTTTCAGATGCCCTCCTGTGTGGATACAGAAGCACTTTGCCCAGCCTTAAAAATCAGGTAAGGAGAACACAAAACCTTTCCCCTAATTCCTTTCCATCCCTAGGCATAAAATTAAAATTACATGTCTCTCTGGACTGATCTTTCTTTGTCCAAATCTTTGTTGTTTGTTTAGCATCACTCAGAGACATGAGAAATCTCCACTGAAGCTGTCTGATCGGTGAGTAAAATTGGATTGTTAGTGGCTTTTCATGTCACAATGATTTTGTAAGTGTAGGCAAATCTCTGCAAAGAGATATTTCTTTTTCAGAGTTGAGTTTTTTATTTGTTTATTTATATATATATTAATATATATTATATTTTATATTTAGTATTTATACTATATATAAGATATATTTTTATTGATCATATATATTTAGAAATTGACATAAAATATTTAAACTGAGACATTGTTTAGCTTTTGAAATCACACTGTGATGAAATGAATCTACAGAGGATTTTTTTTGGCAGCTTATTATTCATTGCTATGTCTTTCCTCACTTAAGAAGTTGATGTTACAGGAATTCTGGTGCTTGAAATTAAATTACATAATTAAATGGCTTTCATTCACTTTCTGACTTTATTAAGGGTGGTGTGCTTCTTGACTCTTCTAATTTCAATACAGTTTGCTTCTACACAGGATTTTGTCAAATTTCAAGCATTTCAGCAGAAGCTTTTCAGGCTAGATATCTATCTCAGGATATGTTTTTAAACCCTTTGAGCAAAAATAGTTTATTGACTTTTATATAGGGAATCTGTGCTCTTTTTTCTTCTCTTAAATTATTCCAGTGACCTTTCCTCTAAGAAGTTCAGGTACATTGCAGATTTTGAAATAAGCACTTGAAAAATTAAGTTAAGAGGTCCCTCTTGTACACTCTCAGTGGAACTTCTTCTGCACAGGAGAGTAAACCATCCATTTTAAAGAACAAGGAGAGCATGAGCAAGACTTCTAGGGAGAAATTGTTGGGGATTGCTTGCAAAATAGTTTCAAGGAACAAAATCAGCAGGAAAATGTGCCTTGATGACTAGTGTGAAAATTGATGTGGGAGGGAAAGAAAAGGAAAATGTGTCAGTTTAGTTTGGGAGATACTAAAATAACCATAGACGCTGAAGTATAGAGCCTGGAACTAGCTGAGTACAGAACTGAGAGTGAGAAGCAGTAGGGCTGCGTGGGAATCTTGGAAGTAGAAGGAGAGACAGTTCTGAAGAGATGGGCTCGGAAATGTGGTTATTGGAGGGGGGGCTGTGAGGCTGACTGAGAGAGAAAGGGAGGAGTCTGGCAGGGGAAGCCAGTGAAGAGCTAGCTTGTGCATGAGGAAGGCTGAACAGCAGAATCAGGGTGAGATCTGATGAGTGTTTGGGAAGCTGGAAAACAGGATTTGCTGGGTGAGCTGCCTGGGGACGATATGAGGAAGGCTTTTGGAGGTGAGAATTTTCTGGAGATTGGGTTAAAGTTTTGCCTGAGGAATAGAAGCAGGGACTGGGAAAGACAGGGGTCACACCTGGGATGGGGGCTAAGGGAAAAGCTCTGGTGCCCATGCAAATATGTGTTGAGTAGGAGTGTTGGAGTGCTGCTGCAAAGTGGAGTGGAAAGAAGTGAGGGTACCAGGACAGGAAGGAACACTCCGGGCAGGCCATGCTAATGGTGGGAGCAGGGGACGCAGGGACAAGCTATGATGCTATGGACCATTTTGCTTCAGTGCCAGGAATGACATCCCACATGGCCAAGTCTCACAGTTTTGTTGCTGCCAGCAGGTAAGACTGATGAGTCTGGGACTTGTCGCTGTTACTGCTGGGTTTGTTCAGAAGATAGCAATCTGCTGCCACTGTTGATTACTCCATTAGAGTGAATATCATAAGACTGGCCGAGGGAGCTGATTCACCACTAACAATGATTTTTGTGCATGTTGTTATGATACTTCATGAATACATTTTTAAAGTAGCTTTTCAACACCTGGGATTTAAAGAAACAAAATACTCCACACAATTTGATATGTTTGGTTCACAGAGTGAACATGTTTTTGAGGCACTTAAGGGCTGCCTAGTAGGATCCCCACTATCTGTGGCGGACAAAGGAAGGTGTGCAGTGAACCAGGCAAGAGTTTTTAGGAGGAGAGTTTGTGTTCTTTGTCTGCTATGATAATCACATGTGGTGTGGGGCACCCACCTTTTCAGAGACTCATTGACTGTCCATTCTCTATTTTCTGGATACTTGAGCAGACTCTGGAAATCATATTTGCAGACCTTTCAAGCATTTGTATCTGCAACTGAATCCACAAGAATATTTTGAACTTAGAGTGTACTGTAACGTCATATGGTCTGAAATGTCAAGTTTTTAGTTTCAAGACTGTTCTGCCAAAAGCCAGCAGACACTCCATTTTATGCTATGATTTAACTTATCACTTTAATCCTACTGTCTCCAAACTTCTTAATTTTTGATACTGCATGTGTCATAGTATGCTATAAAAACATGTTTCATAGAAACAGATTTTTAACATAACATTTCTGCTGAACAGCTTGCTCTGCAACACAGACGAGAGCAGAAGGGAAAGAAAGAATAGGCCTAGATTCATGTAGGAAGAAAGAAAAAGGTATACACACAGTTTGTCAGTAACTGTCAGGTTGTTTCAGGCAAAGAGGTTATTTCTGTCAAAGAGCAGAAGCCAAATCACTGGTGTTAGGACTTGTACATGATTCCTGTAAAGGAGTCTTCAAAGGAGTATAAGAAAAAAAAGAGTGGGGGCAAATTAGAGTAGAGGTATGGTTTCAGACAAAATTAGTTTTGGATTCTAAAAATAAGGTTCAAAATCTAGACTAGAATGACAGGAGAAGCTGGAGGAGATAGGAGCAAAAAGGAAAAGCATTTAAGCAGAAATGCTTTGTATTCACTGGAGTGTAATGAGGGAAAGAGAGGTCATAGCTGTCATCAATTACGGTTAAGGGATATTATGGGTGGGGACACAAGGGTATAACAAAGTGAACAGCAAACAGGAGTTTGCCTGGGGGCAGTGTGCTGAGTAACTGTGACTTTTACAAACAGTTTTTGACTGTGCTATTTGGTGTGCAATGGCAGGAAAAAATGAACCAAGCTTGCACAGGGATTTGAAAAGCAGGAGGGGACAAAAGAGGATCTAGATCTGTGGCAAGGTGGGTAGACCTGAATGGCAAGGAAAACATTGCTATTACTGACATTGACTGAGAAGAGAAACATGGGAGGGGACAGTAAGACATATCCAAAGGCAGAGAGTTAGTTATACACATGACAAAGCAGAGGGATTTTGTGAGGCCTATGTCTCACAAACAAGCTTGGGAGATCATTCATTGCCACCCTGCCAGGGTGCATTGTTTTAAACTTTCTTCCATACTTTCTCTTTTCTCCTTTTTCCTTCTTTCCAGGTTCTTTAGTCTTATCTAGATTCCCTAAAAGAAAGTGGTGAAGTTTGTTCTCCTGTGATTGGTTTTGCAGTGATTTAAATGGCAGCTGACAAATGCATGGAATTTTGAATTAAGTGTTTAGCTAAAAATGCCCCACAGCCCATTACCAGATGCCAGGCACCAGAAGCAGTAACAGGGCACTGCCCAGTCCCCTGGGGCTGTCCCCTACTGCCCACAGCCCAGGACTCCATGACAGCCTCCTGAGGCCACCAGTCCCTGTCCCAGCGATGTTCCTGCAGAGCTGGTCTCCAGCTTCCCAGGTTCCAGCCCAGCTGGGCCCACCCACCAGCTGGGTCTCCTCACTGAACCTATCTCTTTTTAGAAAATCAGAAGTTTGCAGCCTTTCTGGCTGTGGTTCCAGGAAGGAAAAGAGATACAGGTTTGATCACATCTAAGGGCCGAGTTGCAGTGCAAGAATGACTGCAGTGCATATAGTTTCATTCCTTTTTAAACGCCTGTGAGTTTATTGGATAATTAGCATACTGCTTTCTGTACTAATTTCTTTGAATTTGTTCTTCTTCATCTTCACTGAATCATACTTTGTGTCTTTTTCAACACTTTCCTTTTCCACAACATTGTTAGAACAGGCTAACGAACCTTTCTATTTCCCTTGGCCCCAGCTCTGCCACTTTTCCTTGGGTTTCTGCTTCCTGCCTCTCTCTGGCAGCTTTTCTTTCAGACCTGCTGCAGCCTTTCCCCATGTACTCTTTTTTGTCTCTTCACTTTGGTCCTTTTCATCCCCAAACCGGCTCTTCCTTTTGCTTGCTCTTTTGTGGGCTGGTTGGAAACAGTTTTAGCACACTGGCATCATAACTGGTGTTGGCATCTCTGAAAGGGAAGACCTTTAAGAGTGATTTTAGGTGAAAAATGTAATGGCTCTGTAGGTGCTTCATAAACTTCATCCAAAAGTAGGGGCAGCAGAGGAGAAAGCAAGAACTGCTTCTTTGTTATCAAGGGCTAATGGTAACAGGGGCTGATGGATCAGAAAGTAAAGCTTAGCTTTTAATACTGCATGTGAAATGATAGGTAACAAAAAACTTTGGAAGGCAAGACAAGGAAAGGACATAGAATTAAGTAGAGAAGGGAAAGCTAAAAGGCAGGCTAAGAAGTGATGTAATAATAAGCAGATTAATGATGGCAGCAAGGAAGCTACTACACTTGCTGAGACCAGAAAGAAGTCTGATGCAGTAATGGAGGGCTGAGGTGACCACAGAACAAGAATTTTAGATTGTGCCTGTAATGGAAATTGTTGCTTTGTACCCAGGTCTGATATGAGGAAAGAAAACTGTAACTCACAGAGTAAGTTGTAAGAGTAGGTATGTATTTATTCAGCGCTGAGGTGCATGGGGGATAGCTTCTCCAAAGGCATGCACACCCTGGAGACTTGCCCCTCTCTTTTTATTCTCTATAAACTAGGGTTACACAATACGCCTAATACATATTAATTTCCCTAACCCCGCCTGTCCCTGCTTCATATTAAAATTAGCTCCATGCCTCCTTGCGACTGCACACTGCTCCTTGTTGGTCACTCTGATGGTCGTCTGGGGGTCTTTGGGATGAAATCAGTGATTTTCTTCTCAGTTGAACTTTCCACCTTGTCTCCTTGTGCATTCTCTTTTTAGTCCTTTGACCATCTTTTGGACTTTGATACCATTTCTCCCAGCTTAGGGGGGTCCAAAAAATCCCCTTATCTTGTGGTGCCTTTGTGTTTGCATCTTGTTTTCGATTCTGTATCTTATCTAGAATCTAGATCTCGTAGTCTTGCTCTCTTTCTGCTTTTGTGGGAGCAGTAAGTATTTCATATGGTTTTGGCAGCCCTCTTCTTTTAGTCAAAGCATTTCTTTATGCTTGATTCCTAATTATTAATTTCTCTGTTTCACATCAGTGCTGTGAAGTGTGTTGTACTGTAGGACACCATTGGGGACTGGGTTTCTTACTTTTTCACTTATAGAATTTTTTCCCATAAGTTGCTAGGAAACTAACTACTGGATTCTTATGGCTACTTAAGAAAAACAAAAGAAGTGGCCAAACTCAGGGGAGAGGGGAGGGGATACCTGGAGATTTGGCAAGCAAAAGACGGGGCTGGGGAACTACTAGGCCTCACACTCTGGGTTTGGGAGTGAGGACAGGCAGGCTGTTGCTTACTGTGAGGAGGATTCACTGCCACCGATGGAGTCCAGTGCTGTACTGCCTCATCCTTTCTGTGGGTGAACCTTTTGCTTGTAAGAGCAGCCACTGAACTGGGACCTTATTAACATCTACCTCACTAAAAAAGGAACCTATCCCCGTCTGCTCGGGTGCCTGGGATCTTGGGCTCACACCTCTCTGCCCTGCTGGGAGCCGGGCCGCTGCTGTCCCGTCTCTGTTGTTCCTTCAGCACTGCTCCGGGCTCTCTCTGCACTGCAGCCCCGCACCCCCTGCCTGCCCAGACATCCCACGCTTCCAGCCACACCTCTGGAGCTTCTGATACACCTTGCTACCACCCCGGGATTTTTGCTCATTCTTGCTAGCTGAGCTTGCTGTTTCCTTAAGTCCTGCTGGGCCACGAGGACCGGCTGTCCCAGAGGGGTCTGTGAAGCAAAGCCTCTCTCCCAACCCTTCCGGTCTGGGCCGAGCCGCCATCACCGCGTGTGGCCCCGGCCCGCGCCACAGCGCCCCCTGCCGGAGCGGGGGAATCCCCGCCCTGCCCCGCCCGGCGGGAGCAGCAGCGCCCCCTGCCGGCCGTGCCCGGAACCGCAGCGAGGGGAGAGCACCTGTGGCCAGGAGCCGTCACAGGGTCCCGTCTTCTGCTTGGTGGTAGTGCTGCCAGAGCTGTAGTTTGTTTGCTTTATTGTACATACTAGTAAAGAACTGTTACTCCTATTCCCATATCTTTGCCTGAGAGCCCCTTAATTTCAAAATTATAGTAATTCAGAGGGAGGGGATTTACATTTTCCATTCCAAGGGAGGGCCCTGCCTTCCCTAGAAGACACCTGTGTTTCAAATCAAGACAGACACCCTTGTCAGCCTTTTCCTCAGTAGCTCCCAGCCTAGCCCATATGTTGACACCCCACTGAGCTCCTAGCCATTCTCACCTCACACCATTGAACCCTTATGGCAAATGAGATGATGTCAAATGCTGTCTCTTGTTGGCAACATGACCTGATCAGACACTTTTTCTAGCCCATGGCTGTCTGTAACTTGCATGGGTTTCCTAACCCATTACTGATTTTCCACCTCATGGACAGGCCAGCCTGGCTGCTAAGGCTCCACTTTCTGGAGTCTTTCTCCCTCCTGTCCACCTATCACAAACTATACAGAAGCAAGGGTGCTGCAGATTTGGCTGAACAAGGGTCTTGCTCTTGCAATTCATTCTGATAGAACAGCACATGCAGAACTGCATCCAGAGCTTGGTTTTTCTGTCCAGGCTGTTCTTGGGGACTTTCTACCTATCATCTCCTCATCACCTTCTATGTACCCATACACATATCAGTATGTATGTATTTTCAGTTGTCTTTCTGAAGGGATTAACAGGGCTTAAGTACAGAATGGGGTTCAGCAAGTGAGAATGTTATCTGTTTTCAGAGATTATTCCCTACCTTCCACTAAGCTGCTGTACTGGTACTTCCTTTTACTTCTGGCTTCAAATGTATCAGGAACACAAATAAGTATTGTTGTAATTTCATTCTTTTAGTCTGAAAAGTTCCACTTATCAAGTGGGTGCAGAGGATCACCCCACATGCTCAGCTCTGACCAAGGTCTGTCTGTGAAAACTATCTTGAGACATACCTTTGTAAGCTTATTATCAAAAGACTTTAAATCATTATCAGTCTACTTCGTTAGTTTACTTGGAGCAAATAATATGCCAGTGTAACTGATATTAATGGGTTTTGGAACTATTTGTGTGTGTATATATATATATATATATATGTACACATGTGTGTGTACATGTGTTTCTGTACTTGGGTTAATAGGCACCACACCTATTAAAAGACTTAACATTATTCAATATTTCCAGCTGTAGTACTTCTTATTGTTTATGGAAGTATAAAAACATTTTTAAGGTTTTTTTTTTTTTTTTTTGTTATATTTCTTTAAATACTGAAGATTTTTCGATTGCAATGGCTCACAATTTCCAGGAGAAGGATTAGGGAATACTATATTATGAATCATTGCTTCAGCAGTTCAGGTATCCAACAGTGTACAAGTGATACCTATGCAAAGCAATGCAACCTATTCCTTTGGTGCCTGTTGTAGAAATAAATCTGCATGGCAAGAGGAAGAACTCCAGTCTGAGTGTGATGTGTTAGGTCATGTATTTGTGTGACTATCATTAAAACGTCTTTGACTGGGTATTTCCTAATTGAATGAGTACTAAACATTTTCTATCAGACCTTGTTTTGGTTGGGGGAAAGGAATTCATAAACCCAAAGCTGGTAGTTGGATAAGTGTGAGTGGTTGTGGTGTAGCTACACGTGCTCAGGTAGAGTACAGACAGCTATCAGACATACAGGAAGGTTGCAGAAGGTCTAATATCACAAAATGTAAAGCAAGCATGAGACAAATTAATCAAGAAAACACAACAGAAAAAATGTCCAGTAAGTCCAGCATATGACAGTTTCGTGTCACTCCTGGAAAAGTACAGTACAGAGATAGAGAGCCTTTCTGGGTCAGATAGTCCTGCTTGCCATGTGGGGGATGTGCAAGTAGGTTGCCAGCAACCTCCATAACCAGTGTACCATGTAGAAAAGGGAGATGTTGAAAGTAATTAAAAGCAGACAATTGTCAGAAATTCCTTGAAGTAAACAGAAGGATGGGAAGAACATTTTATGGTCAGTAAACTTGACAACAAAGATATGAACAATATGATAAAATTTTTTTGTGTTTGTTACTTTCAGTGTGTTTATCAGGAAGAAAAGAATCTTTAAAATGGAATTGTAGAAGACCATGGTAGAATTATCAGTAGTGCAAAGAAGGCTTGAATTCAGTAAATATTTTTAATTTTATGAGTGCTTCAGGTCTTTTAGCCATTTTGCATGCACATGAGATGATTGGCATTGCTTTCTCCTGTAATCTATTCCCCATTTGTTACCACTCTTGGCTTGAGCAATTGTTCAGGTTGTTTTCATGAAGAAACTTTGGATTATGTTATAGGAAACAGATGTCACCAGACTGATTAATTTTTTTTTGCTTAGCTTTGGTTGATTAAGGCAATAGCACTGATATAGTGGATTTAGAATTGTATAAAGAATTTGACTTGACATGACATGTTAGCATGTTTTGGCTAAGAAGCTAGAAAGACATCAAATCAGCTGGACACACACTGAAGATATTAAACACTAATTAACTTGTCAGGCTCCAAAAAAAAGCAAGTATTAACTCAATACATCTTAAATAGTAAACACAATTACAAGTATATGGAAAAGCCATAATAAATATAAGGAAAAGTTCATCTGAATTACTGACACTGACACTACTTACAAAGGTGCTTTTCATTTTGGATTTTTTCCTTCCTTTTTAATTTCCTGGTAACTTGTCCCTCTTTAACAAAATGGCTCACAGAATTTTCTTTCTTCCTCTTCCTCAGGTTTCCCTTAGGTGATTTTTATCACTGGAAACTTTGCATTACACAGAACTCTGTACTGGGGTCTCACATCTGAGAACATCTTCCAAAGAAGGCTTTGGACTTCACCCTAAGGTAGCTTTGTGTCATGTTGACCTCACTTGTTGAAGGCAGTATTGACTCTTACTGCCAGTCTGCTCCGTGAAGTTTTCTAAGGAGTCCAGAAGTATTTCCCCTGTCATCTTGGAGCTTGTTCTATCCCTCCTTATGGTCTGAATGTTCTCCTGAATTTAATTAAAGATTCTTTTTCTTCCACAAATATGCATAAGTCTTAGAAGAGGAGGTGTCTCCTGTGTTTAACTAGCTCCTAAACAGCTTCTTTCCCCCAAGGAAGCAAGGTCTTCTATTTCCCTGTGACTCATTGACATGTTTCCACATGTAATATGTCTTACAGCAAACCTTATATTCTCTAGTGGTAGTGTAGAGGTAAATATGCATGATACAAGTATCTAAATAGGGTAAAACTCATCTAGTTAATTTTCTGATTCCTGAGACAGGTATGATAACATCACTTCTCTGAAGTGACAGCATTTAAAGTGAATGAAGCCCAATACCTTTCTCCTAAGCATACTCTAACAAGGAGTCCTTGTACAGAATTATTAATGTTATATTGATTTTAATTGCTACATAGTGTGAAGTTGTGTTTTCAAACTTCTGAAAAAGAATAAAAAGGGAACACTCAGTTTTGGCCCTCATGAGATCAATGAACAGCCTGACTGACTTTAGATGGCCTTGAAAACAGCGTCGGATGAATTAGGACTCAAGGATCACATCATGAAATGAGAATTGATGTACAGTGAAGAAAAGGCAGACCTTCCCATAACCTTTCTTGTAGCCTTTACAACGATCTTATACAACCAAGAAAATGAAGAAGTGTAGGCTAAATGCCATTGTGTCTAAGAATACTGCATTAATTTGAATAAGTATTGTAACATTTTATTGTAAATACAAGTAAATTTTTAACACAGAGATAGTGAACAGTGTCCCTCTCTATTCCCCAGGTCTTACCTACACTAAGAGAGATTTAATTGTCAGTAATGCTGTTAATTCTATGAGTCTGCAGATATTCTGGTAAAAGTATGTGGTATCAAAATCACATATCAGCCTGAAAGGAGGAAATGAGGAAACCTTGTGTACAAGTACAGTTTCAGCAATGTAACTGATGCTGCATCTACTGCTGTCTCAGAACACACCAGAAACCAGTTTCTGTTATGGCAGTTGGGGTTTATGTATATCCACACAATAGGTGGCACACAGACAATGCCCAAAGTAGTCCTATTGTATCTTATAAAAACAGAAAAAAATAAGAAAATTGAAAAAAAAAAAATTACAGCCACAAGGAATCCAGGCAATGATGTGTTTATTGCCAACAGGTTCAGGGTGAAAATTTGAGAAGTGGGAAATGAAAACAGTGCTGTTTGACTCTTTTGATTGTACAGACTTAATGGAACAGAAAGAGAATGTCCTGTTTGCCAGTAGTTATTGTTTTGCAACTTCCAATAAAAGCATGCTGATGAAGAGCTCTCTCCTGGGAGAAACAGAGTAAGATTGCACAGAGGATTTAGATTGGTCTCTCTCCATGAAGTGCAAGGAGACAATGAGTGAGCACAAGGGAGAAAACATGTTGTGTTGGACTGCCTTCTTTCCTTTTCTTTGGGAACACAGAACAGCTCCTTTTCTGTTGTTTCCTCTACTGCTTCTATATGTTTCCTGTCTTTCTGAACCATTTGGGGGATCTTCTGCTGCAGTAGCAATGGCAGCAAACATATATGCCCTGCAGTGTCTTTGGAGAGGGAGAATGGGAGAATTCAAGTTAGTGGTGTGGATTCTCTGCAGAACTAGGGAAGAGTTTCTCCTGCAGTGGTTCATTTGTCCAAAGTAGAAAGCTTCAGGGTAATAAATGGAAAGAAATTAATCCTGAATATGTCATGGTCTTTGTGGATACACCTGTTACAAGTTATAGAGATCTCTGTGTTCCGAGATTCTAATGGTTATAAAAAAAATACAACTTTGTAACCCTAAATGAAGTTGTTGTTCCCCAGCAGCTTTAAAAGACAAGGAAGCAGTATTTGCTCATAAGCAGTTCACTGTTTTGAGAAAAAGAGGAATTTTGGACTACTACTAAGTGGACATATTTATCTATTTGGTTTAACAATATAATTATGGTGAGTCTTTTCCATAAGATAATTTTTACTTATTAGCAAAGCCTATTTTTATAGGGCTTGAAATGTCTTTCTGCTGTCCTAAATTCTGTAGGAGATTTACATGTTATCTTTGTTATATCAGTCATACAAAATCTAACCTGAATTATCTTTCCTTGTTGACAGAGAGACAGATTTCCACTTTAGAGACGACGTAATTTTCCTTCCTGTGAGAATAACATGAACCAGAGGGTGTTAGCTTTCCTTCTCCCTAATTTTTTATTTGGGCTATTTCTTCTTGGGTTTTTCAGTAAGAGACAAAAGAACCTAACAGGTGAGTAAAGAAATTACCAACAAGATTTAATGTTTTATAGAAAGAGAGACACCTTCTCCAAATGTGTTAGAAAGTAACTATGGAGCCCAAGATATAAACAGTACTGTGATAATATCCAAGGCCTTGTCACTGTGGTAGTTATCTCAGCAATTTATGAGAAGAGGGCACTATAAAAACATGATGCTGGAACATCAAACTTGCTTAGACTAATACTGCTAATATATTGAAAGTTTTCATTTTAATAAATGTTTCACTAGGGAGGGTAGTTTATTGTATGTTTGCCATAGCCTGGTTACAGTAAAAAAAGCTGATTTTAGCATCTAGATTTTGTATGCAGGGTGATAGATTGAGTGCTATGATTGTCACAGATAAAGAGATTTATACAAGCCTATTTCACTGAAATGGTTTAAATTTCTTCCTTGGTTGCAGATACTTTTCCCAAAAATTGGCTGGCAATTCAAAACAGTCGGAAAACCACACTGGCTTCTGTCTGCCTGAAGAATAACCTTAATAAACCAGGAAGCAAATTGGATTCTCATGTTGCATACCAGCTCTTTGTGGAGCACAAGCATAAATTCATCTACTGTGAGGTGCCCAAGGTAGGCTGCTCCAACTGGAAGAGAACTATTTTTCTTCTTCAATCAGACTTGAATACAGAAGCTTCTGAAATTGAGCATGTCAACATCCACCATACCACACTGATCAAAAGGCTCTTGTCTTACCCTCCTGCCTTACAAAAGGAATTTCTAAGCAATTACACCAAAGTGATGTTCACCAGACATCCCTTGGAAAGGCTGGTTTCAGCTTACAGAGACAAACTCCTGCACTCTGAACCATTCTACAGTACCACTGTTGCTAATGAGATTAGGGCAATGTTCAGGAAAAATACAAATTCTTCTGAAAAAGTGAGTTTCCAGGAGTTTGTCAACTTCATTATAGCAAAACCACCACATAGGCTTGACATTCACTGGAAACCAATGTTTCTGCTCTGCGATCCTTGCAACATTCACTATGATATTCTGGGTAAGTATGAAACTCTTGGATTGGACTCTGATCATGTTCTGAAGGCCATTGATGCACCAGAGAGCCTGCAATACCCCAGCTTGAAGAGATATAGCTCAGAGAAACGAACTGATGGTGATATAACCTTGGAGTACCTCAGACAATTGACCTCAAAACAAATTGAGAAGATAAATAAATTGTATGAAATGGATTTTTTTCTGTTCAACTATACTATGAAATATGAGGATCATTTTTCCCTGAACAACTAAATGTAGATTAAACAAAAAACAGTTTCCTTTGTACCAAACAGGCTGAACTTGTCCTCACAGGTGTTTGATAGGCAGGCTGGTGACTGCTGCTGAGATTATCCTGGAGTTTGTAGATATGGTTTATCATCCTAAGCACTCTTATAAAAGTTCCTGCCATGACCTCTTGTATCATGCAGACCTTCACCTATTAAAATTATTTTCTTCCTGATGATCTTTAACAGCTTCCATTTGTTTCATGAAAACTGTTCATAAGTGACAGATATTGGCCCATTGGTGAGAGACATGGGAAGGATGAAGAATGTTGTTTTTCACACTGTATATTTCAGGACACTATTTTTATGTCATTTTTTTAATTAGAAAAAGACATAAGAAATAATAAATAATCTGCTTGAGAGTTAACCACTCTGTCTGAAAGAGCCTTGATCATGAATACTGTAGGAAAAGAGCAAATAACTTCAGATGCTTGAAGCTACATTACATAGAACCTAATGCCAGAATATATTCCTCTCTAGCAGTGCTCTCATCACAGCCCATCAACCTTATCCCTAAAGCAGCACAGCTGTCAGCAATTCAGACAAAGTTTCCATTATAGCTCTTAAAAATCTTATGATGAGCAGATATGGTATTCATGGTGACTTTACAAACCCTTCTCACCACTTTTATAAGCATTATGGTCTGATTTTAGCAGAAGGTCTGAAAAATGCATTGGATTTTTTTTAAGAGAAGTAGTTAGAGGTACTTTCTAAACTGTACAACTGGGGTGGTACATGATCTAAAATCTCTGTGGAAAAGTGACTCTTATTTATTCTCCCAAAGCACTTAACATGCAGTCAATGGACAGGTCAGTCAGCATAGTGGGGACAATGTTTGGGCTTTCCCAATTGTACTGTTGGAATCCACAAGCCCTTGGACTTACCTGAGCATGGCACTTGGAAGGAGCTGGGTAACCTTAGAGAATACATTTGTTCTACCTGTTGCTTTCTCACCTTATAGAAGAATGAGTGCAAATAAAATGTGGAGTTATGGTGAGAGGAACAGTGAAACATGGGAGAAACAGCTCAAACCATTACCCCCATCTTTATCGGTTTTAGATCACTGAGGGGTCTATAACTGCTATTATATTAAGCATGAGATTTGTCCCCTTTAAAATGAAATCTTTTGTCTGGTCACATTCAAATATTAATTGGTGACCACATTAATTGTAACAAGTTTTAGCAATTAATTGTGACGATTGGCACTGTCTAGGGGATGTCAGTCTCTCAGCAGCTAAATTGAAAGTCCCTCAAATGCACTTAGTTCCTCTCAGATAAATCTGCAAATGTAGAAAGGCTGGCAGGCTAGTTTTGGGCCCAAAGTGTGCTCTCAGCTTCTCATCACACAGAAAAAGACAGATAAAATAAGTTAATCACAGAGCAGCCACCAATTTGTACAGCTTTTGCTGCCAGCAGCATGACCAGGGGAGGGGGAAAAGAAGACTGTGAAACATGGACACAATGGGGTTTAAGATATGAGAGTTTGGCGGAGCCCTCCCAGTGCAGGAAGTGGGTTGCAGGAATTATCTGCTCCAGTGGGAAGGTGCAGTGATATACAACATCGGCTGGAGAGAGTGATCAGGCCACAGTGACAGGAGAAGGCCCAGAAAGAAGTGCTCTCTATCCCCCTTGGCAACAGATTGTACACAAGCCAGGACTAGCATTCAGTACATCTGGCAGGTCCTGCTGGCTGACTATTTCATAAATGGGGCAGCTTTGGCACAAGGAGAGCTCCAAAGTGAGAAGACCAAGCAAGAGCAGTAAAACTATTTGGGAAAAAAAAAAAAAAAAAAAAAAAGAAGAAGAAAAAAAAAAAGGCTATGATTTTATGCAGAATGATTCATATTTCTGGATCTCACCCTCACCACCACCATATTTGGTGTTCCCATAATCCTACTAGCCCCCAATACTGGATTGTTCATGCCACCCTGGCAACTCTGTAGTTAATGCAGGTTTTTCTTTTCCTTTACTTGTTAGTTTTCTTTAGTCAGAGGAAGCTGGAAATTATTCCCATCAAAGTTAAGTTTATGCAGAAGGATGCAGTCTCTTTTTCCTGAATCAGAGCTACATGCTTCTCCTACATTCTTTGACAGATCATGCAGAGGTAGAGGGGAATAATATTTGCTTCATAACTCTCTTCTTCATGAGAGATCCCTCCAGAGCTGTATCTGAAGCTGTAAGTATATCTAAAAATATGTACTGTATTTTGTACTCTGGCACCCTCATCCAGCCTAGGAAAGCTTTGAAGAAATGATACTGACAGAGTTTGATAGGTGTCTTTGCTATCAGCATGCAGTGTTAACACCCCCCTCCAGTTCTTGCTGTTAGATGTGAGTGGCTTTCTATTCTTATTTCCTCTTTCACAGAGTTTCACATATTGTTCCTACAGTGGTGGCAGAAAACTGATGGCTAATTCATTCATCACAAGCACTAGTCAGTAGCAGAAGGATATCTGTTAAAACAGAAAAATCTCTGTAACTATTCACAGCAGACTTTGAGTTTTGCCATTTGCCTATAGGGAACTGTATGTAGTACGTTGCCTCAGATCACTGGCTGCTGTAATGCTGTTTGTCTGGTGTGGGTCTGAACAAAAAAAAAAAGTGGCAGAGGACATGTGGGCATGTCTGCCTATGTAACAACAGGTTTGGGACACTGCATCAAATAAGAACGGCATAAATTTTGTATTACCATCAGTAGTAAATTGAGAATAATGGGTTGGAAAAGAGAATAATCTGTTGGAAAACAGAAAAAAATAATTTTTGATGTTGTAATATAATGAAGGCTCTGGATATTGTCTTAAACAGCCTGCAAGAACTGCAAGACACCTGTAAACTTTATGATGAAAATTAAAACACAAGTGTCTCTTTATGGCCTGGAAGAGAGGCTTCCTGTACTGTCTCTTTCCTACAAGTGCAATGTCCAGAACAAGGCTCTAAGCAAAGCTGACTTTTGCTCAGAGAATAACCCTCAGTGGAACTTCTTTCCTTTGGATGCTAACCCTTGATGATGCTCCTGGGTGGAAAATGGATTCTTGCAGTTGGGAGCAAGGGTGGAGGCAGTGTGGTGAAGCTCAGGCCCTGGGGAGGATTTGAATGGGGAGGGAGTGCCATAATTCATCTTCTGATTTATTGTTATATGCCCGCGATATGATCATTGAAATGTTAATTTGTGATTACCTTAATAAACTGTAGTGAGTTAACACATTAGTCTATTTGTTCATCCTTCTCAAGAGCATCTGTTCAGAAAACAAACCCACCTCAAAGTTGTTCTATCAAATTAAAACAAAGGCCACACACTATTAGACAACAACCAATACAAAGCTGCTTGCCTTTGTTTTGCTACATTAACATATGCCTGCCTCACAGAAATTTGAAAGAATTGAAACAATTATTAAATACTAAGTCATACTTATTTCTCCAGTTTGGAGAAAAAATTCAAATAAGTGGGAAAAAAAGGAAGAGAAAGAAAAAATCTTGCAAATTCAAGCTTGCATCTTTCCCACAAATCTACCTATCAGCAGTGAGAAAATAGGACACTTTTCCCACTCTCATGGAAATCCTCACACACACTTTCAAGATAGGTATCCACAAACCTGACACTTTCTTCATGGAATTATAACAGATCTAACAGATGATCAGTGTATGTCAGCAGTGGAGACCATGTCACCAGCTGCTCCTTGAAGAAGTTGTTTCTTCCACCTTAAAAACAATTATTCTGCCTGCAAGCAGTCCTAATTTTTCACAGAGTTTTGAACATGTGTCTTAACAGGTAAATTGTGATTAGTGGTTTCTTGCTCAGAGAACTTCAAAGAGCAGGACAACTGTGAACAGAATAAAAAATGTGAGCAATGAAACTTCAAGTGTTCATTGTTCCACAGGCGTGTGTCAGACTAACGGGAAGAAAAGGAGGAAACACCGTCCATGCAAGTCATTGTACATCAGACAAACTGCAGTGCTCACTGCTCAGATCCATGAGGTGATTTCATTCCTGTGTTTGGAGTGTTTATAAGTCAAAAGGTTTTAGCTTGATCATAACCAGGTTATTTTGGCTTTTCTGTCATAAAAGTAGAAAAAGAAAAGGAAACAGAAAAAGAAAAAGGCACCAACACTCCATGATCCTGCCTTTAGCCTGAGATGATTTCTCTCTGTCACAGCAGTTCTTACCTCTCTTCCTTCCAGTATTATAATTTAGGACATGCTTTAGTATAAAACAAAAAGTAATTGAATTTGGTGACATACATAAATCCATGTAAACCAAACAAAACTAAAACAGGCAGAGAATTTACCTGATAGAAATGTCTGGAATTTCAGGAATTTCCTCTTGTAAGTCCTGAATGGGTATCAAATGTACACAGGGGGGCAGTTACAATGCTGCTTCTAGTAAGAACTGTTTTTATAGAAAAAGCTCAAGTGATCATAAATCTCAGTCACTATACTGAGACTGAAATTCCAAATGAATCAGCAGAGTAAAAATGAGTGATGCATAACAGGATCAGGTCTGTGAAAAGGAAATGGCTCCACACTGTTTCAGCATTACCCATCTGCACCTCACCTTTGCTCACCACTACAAGAACACTTCCTTTACATCTTCAGGACCATGATTATGGCTTCTTTTCGAGATGTACCAAAGCTTAGCAAGATGAAAGAGTTTTCTCAAAAAGTCTCATTCCATCTTGTAAAGCCATTGTTAACAAGGTTATGCAGCATCAGTGGAGTCCCACCAAAGGTGCAATAATCCAGCCACAAGTGGTGCTCAGAGCAGAACTTAGCTTGAGTACCCAAATCCAGATAGGCATACTCCAGTTTATATTTCTATTATGTAGCAGAACTAGGAAGAAAGCTTTTTATGTGCAAATCTATGACTAATAATCCAACTCTTACCTCACTTGATTGCGTTGTCCTCCATTTTTTCCCCAGATCCCTTCTTCGGTATTCACCTGAATTGCGTGTATGGACTCCTGCTGAGTTCCCAGCTGGGGGCCTCCAAACAGGTGCTGCAGATGCTGACTTACTCAGGCACAGCTTGTTGCCAGGTGAATGTTGCTGGATGTATTGCAACTATTTTCAGAAGGCTTGTGTGAGATATTACCTACTACAAACTGAGATGTAAATATAAAGTGAAAGATGTTTTGAGGGCATTCCACCCTACACTTAAAAGTAAACTCATCTTCTATT